GCCCAGATATATGCATATCTGAGTTTATTGATTGTTCACTTTCAGCAACGAATGGAGGAAGAGTTCGCCATGTACGATGAAGAACAAAGACGTATCGTGTCCAAACAGCCGTTGCATTCCTCGAGACTTTCAACGCCACCACCAGCCAAGAAGCAACAACTTCACACAACTCATGAACGCATTCAAGTGAGCGATTTATTACGCTACTTTATTTTGATCATTCACGTTTGATGAATTTTATGTCAGTGTTTTGATTTCGTTGACTGACTGATGAATCAAAATCTATTTCTCATGCAGTAAACTATAAACTCAAGCGATCTCTGTAGGAAAAGATGTCTAAATACTTCGAAATAGTCATCCGGTTTTCGCAGCATTCACTTCGTAGGAAATGTAACAATTGCAAGTTGGAACGGAAAGTTTTTAAACAATTTGGTTTAAACTGCGAAATGAATGCACATTTTAAAGGGGCAACAAAAAACTGCTCATTCAAAATGGCGGCTGTTCCAGAGAACTTAGGCTGGCAATGTAAAACTGAAGTGAAAGTAGCAATTTTGAGCAGAGGAATCGGTCGCATTACAAGAGAAAATGAAACAAAACAGAAAACACGATTGATAAACAGCGATATTGTGGTTACTGTGTTGTTGTATTGCAGCTGTCTCGAGAAAAATACGATTTCGAGGAGGCTCGCAGAGCAAAAAGCTCAGCTGCTGTCGGTCATCCACCGCATTTCACTCGAACACTCGTTTCGGCGGTTACTGCCACGGGTGATAGTGCTAAATTCGAAGGCGATGTTACTGGTTTGTTGATATTCCTTATTGACTTCATTCGAATCTGATTCTCATCGAGATTCTCACCTACATTTAAAATGGAGAACAACGATTATCGTCACCAAACGTATGCCTATCATCGCAATGCTGAAAACGTTCAAATTCATCGTGATAAATCACGTCTTCCTGCCTATGAATCCAGTGTGAAACCACCCTTTCGAAGAACCACTAAGAGTGTTTCTTTCCAAGAGCCCCTCGTAAGTCCTCCACTTTTTGATTACGATCAAGCCATGCTGGCTACCTCCTCTTCGAGTGTTAGTCATACCATGAGCCAATATAGCTCATCACGATCCGCTTTGAGCACAACGCCAACTTATTACCGCCGCTCTAAAGCTGTGTTGATTCAGCCATCTGTGGCTGTTAAACCTGGTTAGGAGTGTTTGTTTCATTCTCAGGATGTTGTTCTCTAGATGTTAGCACTCTTTATTCGTGTATCGTCGGCATTCGTCAATAAAATTATAATAAAGTTTACAAAGTAATGATGATTCCCACCCGTCATTAGCGATTTGTCATTTGTTCATTCTTGTATAATTCTTGAAAAAAGAGCCTATAATTTTTGCCTCAAATTTGTCAACAGCAATAGAATGGAATAACGTTCCGTACGACAACCAGCAGAACGAAGCGATCATAATTTCGTTTCATTATTTCAAATAAATCGAACATGCTCATTCTCATGTTCATTTAACTTCATTGTCGCCTTCAACGCAATTAATGAGGCGTCCTATTGAAAGATCTTCTGCTTTGAAGGTTGGCCTGCACCTGAGGTTCAATGGACAAAAGACGGTGTGCCAGTCTCGACAGCGACCAATCCTGAATTAGATTTTTCGAATGTGGCTGGTCACGTATCATTATCGTTTCCGAACGCTCAATCCGAACATGCT